CCAACTCCTAGCACTGAAGATGTTATTAAAAAACAAACAAAAAAAATAAAGAAAAAAAAGAAAAAAGGAAAAAAAACACAAAGAAGAAAAATACCTAATCTCTAATGTGTAGCAGTTACATATTTACCAAATAACGGACTCAAAAGAAATAGATGTTTGAAGAGTGCTTTATATATTAAAAATTGCTTTATGTTTTAAAAATGATCAATGTTTTGATTGTTTTGCAAGAAAGACAGACAATGGAGTAACATACCCTCAAGTATGTTTAAAAATATATGAACATTGTGCTCCCTGCCTGCTTGATCAGGAAACTTGTGCATTACATTTTTTTTAATTAGCTTTTTAATGGTTTTATCAAAACAAAACAAAAAAAAGAACAAAAAACAAAACAAAAAAAAAAAGAAGGTCCTGCAAAATTGCAGTTCAACAAAAGCTGGTTTTATAGAGGATCATGAACTATGCACAAACTGGGTTCAAGACTTGTTTTCTCAAGTTGAGTCGTGTATTTAGCTAAACAAACCTTCCTCAGAGTAATAGCATCTCATTGCCATTACATGCGTTCTATATATTTGATGTATATATGCTCACGTATGTATATCAAATATATGTGCGTGCGTGCGTGCGTGTGTGCGTGTGTGTGCACCAGACAGCTTCCCATGCTGCCGCTTAGCATCAAGTTGTAGAAAAACTGATATTTTAAAATTGGGGATGGAAGTAAAGACTCTGTTTTTGTTTTTTGTTGATTTTTTTTTTGACCTTTTCTTTTGAATTAAAGATGTCTGTAACTCTGAGATTGAAAAACAAGTTTGTGGCTTTTAATGTTTTTTCCTCATAGAATGTGATCGTTGAAGAACATGCACCGAAAGTTGCTTTCAAAAGTACAACGCTTTGTTGAATCTTAATAAATTGCAATTTTTTTCTTGGCTGTTCAAATAAATGTGTTTTTTATTTTTCACAGAGATATCATCGATTTTCACTTTGTATGTGCTGGGGGAGAGAGCTGTCCTTCTGTTTGTAACGAATTCCCTAACTCTTCAAGATACCCCTAGAGTTTGCGTTAGGTGATGAGACGAACTCTGAATGTCTGTTGTTTGGCTTATAATTTTATCTTGTGGTTTGTGACTTTGCAGCTCACTCTGAAACCTTACTGCCAGTCGCGGAGAGGCGCAGTAGAGCGTGATTCTGCTGCCACCGCCTCGCAGCCGAGATGGAGCCAGGGCCCGCGGGCCAAGTGCCCCCGCTGAGGACCGTGGCTCCGTCACCCGGGACCCAGTTTGGGCCTCAGAAATACTGGGATCAAAGAGAGTAATGAAGGCCTTTTGTGTTTCCTGGACATTTTATTCATTTATTCTTGTAAAGTAGCCTAAAATAACGGTTGAAAGGTGACTTTCACAAAGCGTTTTGCACACGCGGAGCAGAACTCAGGGCGCCGAAGGCAGTGGCTTAGCGTGGCCTCTGGTGGCAGCTAGGGAGCTGAGCCGACACTGGGGGGGGGGTGTCTCAGGCCCACTGCAGACACCATGACCTTAAATCAGTCTGGCGAGCACCAGTGCTTCTGACGGCCAGGATTGTCAAGACGGTGTCTGGGAGACAGGCCAGCGTGTCCTCCGTGACGCCTTGCTCAGAGACCAGCGGAAGGAGTGTCTTTCTGTCTCCACTCCCCTTCCACCTAGGACCAGGGTTCCTAGGGCGAGGTGGCAAACTCCTGGCTCTGCCCAACCTCTTTGGAAAGTCACGAAGGACAGCACCGAAGGGGGTCACAGTCGGGAGAAGTGAAAAGCGAGGAATGGGAGTCAAAGTGGGCAAAGCGCACCCAGCATTCTGCCGAGCAGGTGCCTGTGTGCACTGTGAGAGTGCCTGCTCCCCGGGACGACTTCCTGCAGGAGGTGGCACGGCCCTGGGCCCGGGAGGCTGACCAGATTTTGCCAGCCTGGGGAAAGCAGGGGACGGGTGGGTGACACAAGGTAAGCCGAGATCTGGGGTGACTGCTCATGACACCAGGCTGGGGAGCAGGGATCCTGGTACCCACAGTAGCAAAGGAGGCTCGGTGTCTAGAATCAAGAAAACAATAGGTACAGAGCTGCACTCTACAAAACTGTTGTGACGGCACCGCGGGAGAGTGGCAAAGACAGGGTGCTCAGTCAGTCGTAGCAGGAGATGCGGAGAACGGGCTGTCTGAACAGCGAGGAGGCCAGAAGAGGCGTCGGGGCTAACACCGGTTCTAGTGACAAAGGCGAGCTGAGCGGCTGAGCACATGCTCACTGACAGGAGTGAAAATGGAAAGCGGCATTTCAAGAAGATTCTTCCCAGGGGTGGAGCAGGGAAGACCTACATAGGAATCCCGAAGGAGTCATTAATTTGCTAGCTCAGCGCATCGCACCTCAGTGGGAACACAGTTGACAAGCTCTACTTGTGAGACTGTGGCCGGACCAGTGGCCTGGGGAGCAGGCTGGGCCCCCCAGTCTGGCGCCCCGGCTGTGAAAGAAGTATGTTTCCAGACGCCCCCTAAGTAGGCAGTACTGCCCTGGGCTTAAGAGACCTGCATCAGATGCTACATAAAGCACAGAGCAGTGGTCCTCAGCCCAGCTGCGTGTTAGACTTACCTGGAAACTTGGTTTGTTGTTTGTTTGTTTTTTTAAAGATTTTTATTTATTTATTTGACAGAAAGACACAGCAAGAGCAGGAACACAAGTGGGGGAGTGGGAGAGGGAGAAGCAGGCTTCCCGCGGAGCAGGGAGCCCGATGTGGGGCTCGATCCCAGGACCCTGGGACCATGACCTGAGCCGAAGGCAGACGCTTAACGACTGAGCCACACAGGCGTCCCTACCTGGAAACTTTTAAAATCCCAGTGCCAGGACACCTCCCAAACCAACGCAAGCAGAATCCCTGGGGCTGGGCCCCTAGTCGGTTCCATTGAGCAGCCAAGGCCGAGAAGCAGTGGCATGGAGGAATCTTGTCATTGGCCTGAAATAGCTCTATCGACCTCCTGTGCCCTGGAATAGCAATTTCTAAGAGTTTGGTTAGCCTCGTTTGGCACTTAAAGCTCACTTTTTCTTTTTTTTAGAGATTTATTTCAGAGAGTGTGTGCAACGGGGAGGGGAAGAGAGAGAGAAGCAGACGCCTGCCGAGCGTGAAGCCCATTGTGGGGCTGGATCCCATGACCCTGAGATCATGACCTGAGCCAAAATCAAGAGTCGGACGCTCAACGGACTGAGCCACCCAGGCGCCTCTTTTTTTTTTTTTTTTTGAAGCAAAACTTCTGGGCCAAGCATGGTGCGAACCAAGCACTGTATAGGAGCTGCGTCATGTGCTCCAGCAACCCCCTGAAGTAAGGAGCTGGGCTGGGCTGGGCAAGGTCACGGAACACGCCCAAGGCCATCCGCTAACAAGGCTCAGAATCCAGGCCCGCTCCCCCGTGGGCTCCATCGCAGAAGGAACACGACGAGATGCGCTAACCAGAGGGTCTGGGCCACGTGCATCAGGAACAGGACGGGAGGCAGACAGACGCCACACGCGGGGGCAGGGCAGGCGAGGCTGCAGCCTCGGGCAGAATTGCTTCAGAAAACCTAGGTTTTGCTGTTAAGATGAGGCCCGCACACGTTATTGGGGATGATCTTCCAAGTTGAGCAGTTGTACGTATTCAACACACGTACCGAATGCCTTGAGAGCAGCACCTGCGTTAGTGCCCGAGTGACAGGACTCACTTGTCACAGGCAGCTTGTCTTTACCTCCCAGGGGCTGGTGACACAGGTGGTGGTGCCAGCTCAAGCCGGAAGTGGCCAGTTCGTGCGCCCCCCCCACCGGACAGTGCATCTGTGACCATTCAGAGGGAGGCGCAGGAAGGGCGGTGTGGCCCAGAGAGCCCTTGGCCAGCCTCACGCCTTCCGGACTTCCCACCCAGCTTCACCCCGTGGTGCTCATGCCCGAGATGCAGCCAAGAGTGGCCGCCTGGGGTTAGCACGAGCTCTTTGCAGAGATCTCGGAGCGCCGTGTCGGGGACTGGCCATGACCAGCCCGGGAATCCTGAGCTGTCGGGGGCACCAAGGGCGCCGTCCCCCACCTACAGAAGTCTAGGTGACGCCTGCCCGGTGAACCTCCAAGGCCGTATCAGCAGATGGCACCTGCCCCTGCACGTCTGCCAAACAGGAATACCCCTGTGAGACCATCTAGGAAAGCGTGGACCCATCCGAGGGTATCTCTGCTTAGGGTATCTCCACTGCGGGTTTGACCTGGCCCTCCCCACTGCCTTGCTCAGGCCCGAACTTTGTTCTTCTGGATCCCCCGGTGGGATGAGGAGCAGTGGGGCCCATCACTGCACTTTCATCCTGCTTCCCCACCTGGGGCCACTCCCCCAGCTCCTGCAGACATGGGGTGCTGGGGCTGTGACAGCCGAGCCCCTCCTTCCCGTACGCTCAGGTTCACGGCATCCCACAGGACCCTCAAACCGCCTGGCAGGATCTGGGGGCTCCCCATCACCCACCACAGGCAGCCAGACCCCCTCCTGCCCCAGGCCTGGGTGCTGGCCGCCCCTCTCCCCATGGCTCATTGGAAACAGAGCTCTTCCCCACCAGCCTCTCCCCAAATTTGCCTTCCACTGGCCTGGTACCCACTGAGCATCGCCACTGACGGCTTCATCGCCCTGGACACTGCCTGCCTGGCTCGCCTGCGTGGGCGCAAGCCCCCTGGGCACAGGCGGGTCGGGGGCGACCTGCAAGCTGTGCCGTGGTCCACCCTGCCATCTGGGGCTCAGCCAGCAGAGGGCACCCTGCGCTTTAGTGCCAGACGTCCCCCCAACCCTGCCCCCTAACCCCACGTCGGAGGGCACTGGAGGGCGGAGTGCAGAAGAGAAGCATTCAGCCAGAAAGAGGAACTCCGGGGCGGGGCGGGGGGGTTCCCACGCCCTCCGCCTACAGGTTGTCCACAGGGTGAGGGTACACCGCACAGCGGTGCGTGCGTGCACTCGGCAGGCCCGGCTATAAGCACAGAGTCCCAGGAGAAGCTCATTTTGCAAAACATGTTTTATCAGAATAAATAGAGTCCCAAGCAGGATACAGTCCACCGGGTGTGCCCCCCCACTTGCCCACCCTCCAGTTCCGGCCTTGATGGGCTGCTGAGTCCCGGGCCGGCGTCAGTGCCTACGGGGCTGGGGAAACAGAGGGCGACCCAGGCACAGGCCGCACCTGTGAGCAGACACAGAGCTGCAAGGCCTGTCGCTGTCCTACCAGGCGTCCGGATCATCCGTGAGCCTCTCAGCCTCCTGGGTTCTACCAGCCCTGCCAGAAGGGGGAGTCAGCGAGGGGCCCCTGGGACCTCAGGGTATGTGGGAGGCTGAGGAGTAGTCCCTCCAGCCGGGCCGAAGCCAGACGCCCAGCAGCCCTCCTCAGGAGCTGCCTTCAGGCCTCCAGAGGGTAAAGAAACCTCTGGACAGCCTCAAAGGGGCTGGGTGGGGCGTGGTGGTGGGGCGTGGGGTGTCGGACGACTCAGTCTGTGGGTCCCTGCTGCCCAGGGATGAGCCCCGGGGCCTCGGACTGCACACCTGGTCCGGTGCGTGTACCCCCTGGGGACCGAAGGGGCCAGCTGCCGGGCACCCCGACTTAGAAAGGAGAGTGCCACAGCGCCCAGCTCGACCTGCCCCTGCGTGCACTTCTTTCTTCTCTAGTTTCCTTTTCTCACCAGACTTCACCACGCCTGAGCAGGAGAGCTGGGAAGGAGGGCAATCGGGGAAGCCGGCACCCCTTCCCTTCTCACCCCCCAGCTCTGCACGATGCCCGGCCCCGGCCCCTCCCCTCCACACTCACACGCCGAGTGCCCAACCCCTCCAAGGCCCCTCACCTGCTCCTCTCTTTCCTCTCATAGACGGAATGAAGCTTGTTGATCAAAAAGACTTTGTCTTCCCCCTCCTAGAAAGGCCGGAACACAAAGGGTGAGGGGACAGTTGTCCATCCGTCTGTCTGTCCAGAACAGACTATTCCATGAGACAAGCACAAAAAGTTTAAAGGGGAAAGAGGCACCAAATGAGGTCGGAAAAACCAAGAGCCAGGCAACGGGCGTATATATAGATCGATCGATCTAAGCTTCCTAGTGGCCAAGACGAAAAAGAAAATGTGATCAGGGGCACAGTGAAGGCCACAGAGCCAGCCTGACTTAATTTAAAACTGGCCCCGCCGCCTACTGACTCTGTATTGGGCGAATTACGTCCTCTTTGACCTCAGAGTCAGCATCTGTAAGCAGGAGATAAGGGTGTCTGCAGCACGGGGCTTGTGTGAGCTTCCACTGTCGTTCTAATTCCCACCAACTTGGCAGCTTAAGACAACACAAATTCATCTTTCAGTTCTGGAGATCATAAGTCCAAAACGGCTCTCAATGGGCCTAGGATCAAGGTGTCAGCCAAACTGGTTCCTTCTGGAGACCCTTGGGGAGCATGCTTCCTTCCTTTCTCCAGCTTCTGGAATCTGCCCACAGCCCTTGGCTCGAGGCTGCTTCCGTCTGTGCCGGTGGGTGCAGAGGGCCGTGCCCTTGAGTAAGCCGCCCTGCCCAGGCCCAGAAAAAGCCGTTCCAGGGGCCTAGCCAAGCTCAGACCTGCAGCCCCAAAACCTTGCAACCGGGACAGGGCTTGGCCTCGGGGGCGGGGGGAGGTGGACACGGTCTGCCGCAAAGGCCCACCCGGAGGGCCTTTCCGCTCCCGGAGAACTAGCAGGTGGAGCTGGGATCCTCCTCCCGACGCTGCTGTGCATCTACCAGCCCCACCTCCCCCGCCCCCCGGGACCCCGAAGGTACCCACAGGCCCTGGTGCACTGCACAGTAGGGCGGGCGGGAGCCGGCTGGCAAAGACCTGCTTCCGCCAGCTGTGGCCAGGTGACCGCCTCAGCCAAAATGGCCTGGCCTTACGCCGTGCTCCCTGTGGGCGCGCCCAGACGCCCACATGTATAAGGGAAGGAGACGGGGGCCTCCTGTTGTGTTACTTGAACCCCCTAAGAGGTGGGAGCTGTCCCTAAGGGACCTTCCCGCTTGGGGCCCGGGCCCTGCATCAATGAGCCAGCAGCAGGGGCCCACGCCTACCGCACCCCAGCCCTGTCCTGCCCTGGCTGACACCCCGCGCCTGATCCCCGAATCCTTCTAAAGCAGCGTCCCAGGGGGCCCCCAGGACGCGCCCGGAGGAGGCACAACCCCCGGCCCCGTGCGAACGCCGGGCCACCAGCACACTGGCCTCAGAGTGACCCAAGCGTCCAAGGGACAGTGAGAATCTGCGGAAGGGGAACGGCCACGGGGAGAGTGACGGGAGGTCCAAGCCCACCCAGCGTCTATGCAGGGACCCGCCGTTGCTGGCAGGTCCGGCTGAGCAGACCCCGGCGGGACGCGTCCCCCGGCTGGGAAAATGCCAGCCCGAGTGATCCAGAGGCCACGGTCGCTGGCTTTTAACCGGACGTGAGGCCCAGCAGCCGAGCAGAGAAAGGGCCGCCTTCGGGGCAGGAGGGACGGTCCACGGGGCCAGGCCGGGCCGCCTCTGGGTGGGCTTGAGCAGCTCGGGGCCGGCGGATCCCCAGGGGCTGACGATGCAGTGGGGGTCCCAGGAGGGAGCTGCCCCCGGGGCGTCTCGGCCCACCCTGCCTCTCACACTTAACGACAAACCGAACGTGCTTAATACAAAGGACGAAAATCCGGGCTCACGTTTAACTTACTCCACTTGTTTGGAAAATGAGGGCAATGAACAGGGTCCATGTCCTGACGCGGGGACCCCAAGAAGTCCAAGGGCTATTTCCAGTCCGTCCTAGACCCTCAGAGAGACCGCAGCCCCGCAGGGCCGCCCGCCCAAAAATGCGGCCTCTCTCTGCCGGAGCCACGTCCCTCCCCCGCCCCCTCCCCCCCCCCCGCCGGGAGCCCTGTCCCCAAGGGTGCTCCGGGGCGGCCGCTGCCTTAATCCCCGCTCCGCTTTGTACAGCCCCCCCGCGTGGCCGGGTGTCATTTGTGGGGCAAAGAGAGCCTCTGGCGGCCGGGCGGGGGGCGGCGGGGCACTCACGTTGCTGATCTGCTCCTTCAGGAGGCAGATGACCCTCCGCTGACCCTTCACCACCTGGATGTGGAGGTAGATCACCGCCCTGCGGGATTGGGAGCCACGCGGTCGGGAGGGGCTCCACGCCGGAGGCCAGGGGACCGACAGGCTGGGGCCCCCACCCGGGCCGGTCCTCCTGCGGGGCCCACCTGCCCGCACTCACAGCAGCAGGGCCGACACCAGGTAGACGGGGAAGGTGTTCTCCACCAGGTACCGGTGGACCCAGGGCAGCCAGGAGACCCTGGGGCCCGCCTCCTCCAGATGGCGCACCCACACCTTGCCAGCCTCGTACATGCTGTCCAGGCTCCGGAACGGGCCGCAGGTGCTCGAGGGCTTCACCCTGGGGGAAGGGGGCGAAGGCGACCCCCACGTCACCCCATGCCGCAGCCCCCAACCCAGGGGACATGCCGCCCCAGAGGCCGGGCGCCCACTCACCGCCACACAGCGAAGCAGAGGAAGAGAGCGGCTCCCAGGAAGGAGGGGAAGCAGAGCAAGGAGACGAAGACGGTGCTCATGTGCGAAGCCAGCCAGGGCCGGCGGGGCGCCTGGCAGTTGGCCATCAGGCTGGTCTGGGGACAAAGGCTGAGATCCGCCACTGCCACCACAGCCACAGCTTTGGGGGAGGGGGGGTGCTTCCCGGAGGGGCCCTGGGCGACACCCCAGGCCAGGACGGGCTCCCCGCCCCCAGGGAGCAGACACTCAGAATGTGAGCCTGCGGGTTGCCACGCCGGTTTACGGAGGGGCACTGAGGCGCCCGAGGGGTGGCCTGTCCACCCTCCCGGATACGGAAGACCTGATGGGCACACAGTCACCTCTGATGGCCGTGCCCGGTGCTTCAGGAATGTCCTCTCCAGCGGGCCCCCGCGGACACCGTCCCGTCACACAGACGAGGACACAGGGCCAGAGGGAGAGGCTGGTTCTCCAGCACCGAGCACACCCCAACCCAAGGACAGAGGAGCAGGGGGCCCTTCCCTCGGCCCAGGAGGGGCCTGTAGCTCCGAGCAGCTCCCAGCCGCCGGCCGGCACCTCCAGACACCCAGCAATGACCACGGGGCCCCCGACGCGATGCTGCCCAGTTGGGAAAGGCAGTCAGGGGAGGACGGGAGGGTCCCAAAGCCCCAAGGCCCCGTGGCCGCCCAGCCTGGCTCACAGGCTCCTGAGACCCTGCCACCCTCCCGGGGGCCCGGCGGACCCTTACCTTCTTGACATAGAAGACAAGCAGCAGCTTGACAATCTGGATGGCAGGGAGGAGAGGGGTGAAAACGACCCCCAGCCTGGGGAGGCAGGGAGGGGTGGGGGCTGCAGTCCAGAGGTGGGGTCGCGACCCCTGTGCTGCACCCCACAGCGGCAGCAGCAGGGCCCAGGGTCACGAGACGCCCCACCCCAAGGCCAGGCTGCGGGAGGGCACCGCAAGAGGGGCCGCACGCCGCGTGCCCTGGCAGGCGAGGGGTCAGGGCCCACGTCACTGCGGAACCCCCAAGCCGGGGCCTTGCTGCAGGCCTAAGGGGGAAAGGGGCTCAGCCTTCCGCGGGGGGCCGGGGGGGGCCGGCAACGGCAGGCGAGCAGAAGACGCTTACCAGGTCAGGGTCTGCCCGTAAATCAGCTCCAGAACGTTCCCGGCAATGTCGAACTCCGGCTTCTCCCTCCTCTTAAGCTGCTTCTCAGAGATGAGCCTGGGGCAGAGGAGCCCCCAAGGGTGACTTGGGGGGGCCAATCCCGGAGACCAATCCCCAGCAGGCCGGCCGGTGACCCTCCCCTCAGGCGCCCGGTGGATGTCAGGGGACACGGCAGGCTGAGGTCCTCCACCTGAGAGGTTCGGGGCTACAGCTGACTTCCTCTCCGTCTTTTTTCTTTCTTTTTTTTTTTTTTTTTTTTTAAGTAATCTCTACGGCTGACGTGGGGCTCGAACTCAGGACCCTGAGATCAAGAGTTACATGCGCCACCCACAGAGCCAGGAGCCCACATCCTGGTCTTTTTTCTAGGCCCAGGTATAAACATGCTCAACAGGCATCAAACGTTTTACGGACCGTTAAACATCCCGTTTTTAAATCGTTATTAAACTCCTATGTTCCTGGAAGAAAACCACAAACAGAAAAAAATAAAAGCAGTAGCCACACCGGCGCCCAGCAGCCTCCCGAAAATGTCCCTCCGTCCTTCCCTCCTTCTGTTTTCCCTGGACAAGACTGAGATTAGACATCATTTTGGAAACTTCTTTCTCCATCTAAAAACACATTACATCCTGACTTGGGTTTTGCTCGCTCGGATGATCTTCCACAGAAGAGGCGGCACGGGGGCAGCAGGGCGATGGCCCCGAGTGGGAGTGAGCTCCTGCCTCTCGCAGATGAGGATGCTCTGAGCCCTCCTGAGGGCAGGGGCGAGGGGGGCGGGGGGCGCGGGGGGCGGGGCGGGCAGCCCAGGTGCCCAAGGGGCGTGCGCAGGGCCCGGGGCCTCACCTCCACACCAGCTCCCCGAACAGTGTGTCCAGCAGCACGAAGATGAAGTCCAGCACCACGAGCCGATACAGCTCCTGGCCCACAAAGTTCTCCCAGCACTGAAACAGACCGGGCCTCAGCCCCTGGGCCCCTGGTGCCCCCGCCCCCCTGCCCGCCCCAGCAGCCCACCCAGGGGCCCTCCCAGCCGCCGTGGACCAGGCCAGACGGGCCACACGGCCGGCTGCGGGAGGGCCCTCCACCCCCACCGCCAGCAGCAGGGCAGCCCCGTCACGGGCCCCGGTGGCCTCCCGCTGCCTCAGGGCCACCCTCACCTGGTCCTTCAGGGTGCCCACCCTGCGGCCTAGCCAGTGGTAGCAAAGAATGCCCAGGATGACCATCTTGAGGATGAGGTTCCTGTAGAGGACAGGGAAACGGGGAGGGCTTAAAGGGGGGGGGGGGGGCGGGGGGGGGCAGGGGCCCCGCCCCAGGCAACCTCCACCTGCCCCACCTGGCCACACACCTGCAGACGGCCACGTACACCTCCAGCACCGGCGAGTCGTGCCGCTCCAGGGCCGCCAGGCAGCGGAACAGGTAGGGGGCCCCCAGGTTGAGGAGGCCGACCACCACGGGCAGGGCCAGCAGCGCCCCCTCCTGCTCGGCGGACACCGGGCTCTGCAGAAGGAGGGGCGGCGGCGGTCAAGGCAGGTGCCCCGGTTGGGGGGGGAGCGGCCAGGAGCCCCCCCCCCCCCCCCCCCCCCCCCCCGGGGGGAAGGGGGGGGCCAAACTGCCTCACAGCACCTCCCTCCCTCCCCCAAGACACGCCCACCCCAGGCCTCCGCTTCAAACCACACAGGAAGGGGGTGGGGACACGGGGGTCAGAAAGAGAAGCCAGAGCCAGAGCCGCCCGGGAGAGAGGGGGCCGGGGGGAGGGGGGCAAGCACCGGGGGGCCCGTCCAAATTCAGCAGGGGTCTGACCCTGTGGCCAGGGCTCCAGGGAAGGTCCTCTCTCTGCCCGCACCTTGATCATGAGCTCGGAGAAGGCGTAGACGGCCACGGTGCAGCCCAGCGTAGTCCCCAGGGACAGCAGCCACACGAGCCCCCGCATGGCCCCCCGCCGCAGCCGCCCGCACGCGCTCTGGGAGCCCCGCCGTCGCTGCCACTCGGCCAACAGCTCCTGTGGGCAACGAGCCCATCACGAACCCCGCGCAGCCACGCAGAGACACACGGGGGACAGCTGGGGGAGACTGGAGGGACCCAGGGGTCGCCTCCCTCCCACCCCCAGTGCTACCACCTGCCCCTCCCCGTCCCCAGGCACAAAAGAGAACACGGGGCAGGGTCTCAAGGCTGCGCCCTGCCCTCCACCCCCACCAACCCCCATTTGGTCACCCTGCTCCCACCTCAGGCTCACGCTGCATCCTGAGGCCTGCCCCGACCTCCCACCCACCTCCCACCTCCCTCCCTCCCCAGCCCTGCCTCCTGAGCCCCACTCCCTGCCTTGGAGGTGGGCGGGCCCCCAGCTGTCCAGAAGCCCTAAGGCGCAAAGGACACCTGGCCGGCCATGGGAGCTCCCTGAGGGCAATGAGGGCCCATCAGCCAGGTCAAAGCTGGGGGCACCCCAGGAAGGCAGAGAACATCCCACAAGGCCGGGCCTGGCCACCGGCCTTGGGCAAAGGACTGAACCTCAGGTCGGTGTGCTCACAGGCAGCACGGACAGCTAACAGTCCCTGTCCTGGGCTACCGTGTCGAGCCAGGGTGCGTGCCGGCAGGAGCCCCGGGGTCTCTGCCCACGGGGACCGCTGGCCGAGGGCCCCAAGAGCAGCCTAAGCCCCTTGCACCGGAGCGTCAGCCCGCGGGTTCTCCAGCTCGCGGCTAAGGGCGAACTGACATACTGAGCCCCCCCGGATGGAGGGCTGGCCAACAGCAAGGACCCACCCTGAGCACGCACAGCAAAGCGTGCTGTGAGCAGAGTGTTCTATTAACAAGGGCTCCTGCGCATTTGAGGGCCCTGGACACTAACCCTGGCCAACGGGCGAGAGGCAGCCCCAAATGGGTGACCCATACAGAAGAAAACTCCAGGACGATTCCCAGGGCTACCTCCTGTCCCTGGATTAGGGGCAACAGGCCAAGACCCCACCCCCGTGCCCCACGCACGGCTCTGGCCACATGGGCCTAAGTGGACGCGGGCCGGGTCTGTGGGCGCCAAGATGAAGTCAGGGCCCCTGAGCGGCTCACCTTCAGATGGGTTCGGATGTTGTCGTGCTGGAGGCGGGAGGCCCGTCTCTGGGTCACCTTGTGGTCCCAGGAGCAGAAAACGGTGACAGCATGAACCCCCGAGGTGCTGCCCACCCGGTAGCTCTCCCCGAAAGAGCGGGACATGCTGGGAGAAGCAGAGCCGGGCAGAGAGGTGACAAGGGGCACAGAGGCTGGGGAGAAGGCAGTCAGGAAGCTCGCCGTAGCTGAGAGCCGCCACTCACTCTGATTAGCCCTTCGGGCGCTAGATGGGCCTCCCGTCAACCCCCCTGCCCCTCCTCCAGCCCTGCGCTCTGGGCCTCCTGCCGCGGGCTGCGGGCCACCCTACATCAACCCTGTCCGATTCGGTGCCCACCGAATGCGGCCAGCAGGGCGGGGCTCCGTGACCCACTGACGTGGCTGGCCGCCTCCCACACAGACAGCGCCGCAGAATATGCCAACTTACCTCAGGCCTTTTGCACGGCCTGTCCCAAGAGCCAAAACACCTTCCTCTGCTTCTCCCCTGCCCACGCGTATTCAACCTCCCTGTCTGACACGAGCACCTCCTCTAGCCAGAAGCCAGCCTGACTCCTCCAGTGCCCCAGAACACCCCGGCAAGCACCTCCAGGGCTCTGGATCTTCCCAGCCTCCTCACTGGTCTGTCTTCTCCCCTAGACAGCAAGTTCCTTGAGGGCAGGCACCATGCTCATTTACCCTCCTGCCCTGAGCTGAGCACAACCAATGTCTGGAGGGGGAAAGGGGATGAATGGTTGAGTGGGTGGAAGGAAGGAAGGAAGGAAGGAGGGAAGGAAGGAAGGAAGGAAGGAAGGAAGGAAGGAAGGAAGGGTAGATGCATGGATGAAGGAAAGAAGGGTGGATGGATGGATGGATGGATGGAGGGTGGATGGATGGATGGATGGATGGATGGAGGGTGGGTGGATGGAAGGAAGGACGGAAGTGTGGGGGGGTAGACGGAAGAATGACCCATAATGACTAGATGAGGAGATGATCGGGAGTACTCAGAGCCAAGGTCATATGGTGGAGGGCCATTACCTGTACACGAGGGTGATGCAGGTGATAAAGAAGGCTAGGCCCACAGTGAAGAGGTAGGCCAAGGGCATGCTGTAGGGCAGGCCGGCGGCCTCGCGGCTACACTGACCACCAGCCGGGGGTGGCGCACACGGCTGGTTCAGTGTGCTGTTACTGTAGTAGCCGTAGTACATGACCGTGTGCGTGAAGCGGCCCTGCAGGGGGGAGGCCCCGTGGAGTCAGGGACTCTCCCCCTTCCCATCCCTGACCCAGCCTCAGGCTTCACGAGGCAGAGGGAGGGCACCCATGGGGGCAGGGCGAGAAGGGCAGGGCAGGGGCAGAGAGGGGAGCACAGAGGTAGACAAAGGGCCACAGCCATCCCGGGGCTGCCCGGCCCCACTGGAGTCAGGGCAGGATGGCTATCAAGAACAGGCTGGCCGTAGCCCCTCCCGGGGAGTCCGGGCACAGCCAGGGGCGGGGGTTCCCTGGGGGAAGCCATGCCAAGTGGGGCAGAAGGCAGGGCCCCCGCCTGCAGATGCCCCCGGCCCCCCCCCCCACGGCTCCCTCGCCCTGAGCGAGCCCTCACCCCGCCGGTGAGCAGCTCCAGGCCCGTGAAGCTGCGTGCAGAGCCCAGGGGGGCCGGCGGCGGGAAGGCCGCCTGCACGCCCACGATGAAGGCCAGCAGCGGCAGCAGCAGGAGGGCGTTGAAGGCCAGCAGGGTCTTGAGGAAGAGGAAGTAGGAGAGCACGCTGGAGCCGAACTGGCCTCCGATCTGCTTCAGGGCGTAGCGCCACGGCCTCAGGGCGTGCAGACCCGCGAGCAGCCCTAGCCCCAGGCTGTGCAGGGCCTGTGGGCACAGAGGCAGGAAGGGAAGGGACCCGCCCCGAGCTCGCGTAGGGGCGGGGGGAGGGGGGCGAGCTTGGAGGTGCAGGGGCAGTGGAGGGCACTGCGGGAGGGGAGGGCGGGTCTGAAGGCTGCGAGACCCCACACGCAGGACAGCCACAGAAGAAAGGGGGGGCCACCCCACCCCCGCCCGGCCGCCCCGGGCGCATCCCAGACAGGAGGCTCCTACCAGGACGCAGGCGTCTCGGAGCCGGCCACAGCAGGGGAACAGCCCACGCGGGCCCTGCCGGCCCCTCTGCTTCCCCGTCGGGGTCTGGCTCTCCTCTCTGGGGGCACAGGCCGCATCAGGGTGGGACCAGGGACGTTCCGACTGCCCCCTGGGAGCCACCTGCGGCATGCTCAGGGCCCTTCTCACCGACCGCCCAGCCCCAAGGAAGTGGGTCTCGAGATGGCCCGAGGCCGACGGGCACTGACCGCAGGCAGCGTTTCTCGGCCAGGCCCAAGGGCATTCCCCGGAGCATGTGGTCCCGCTGGGCCACCGGCAGGCCCTGCAGCTCCTTCACCAGGAGGAAGCGTTTCTCTACAGAAGGACGGGGCTCTGTCAGTTCCCCGCCACACCCCCCCCCCCCTCCCTCCCTCACTCCTGCACCTGTGCCCATGAGCCTGGACAAGCCTGTCTGCCCCTGCCGGCCACCCCAACGCAGACCTCTGCCCACCCTCCCAGGCCCGGACGGCTGTTCTCTGCCCGTACCATCCAGGCCAGACCCCGCCGTGCCCGCCGGTCTTTGCCCCACTAGCTGCCTTCACTCACCGCCTCAGCCTATGAGCCCCGTGCCCCTCCTCCTGCACCCTAACTCTCCTCCTGGGTCCCCACAGGCATCTTGCTCTGACCCCCAGTGCACCTGAGCCTCACCCGCCCCCCTGCTCAGCAGTGATGAGGTCCCAACCCCATCCCCTAGCACTTCCCACTATGCTCTTGTGGGGTGATGGGGGGGGCCTGTAGACCCACCCCTCTCTCTCTCTCCCACCTTCGCTACCAGCCTGGGAGGGGGCACCACTTCAACCCCAAGTGACAGACAAGGGGACACCTGGCCAGGCCTGCAAAGTGAAGCTGGCAAGTTGCCCAGAGCCCGCTCCTCCCTGCCCTGTCCATCCCCTATCACAGGGCCCCCACTAAACTGGGGAGGACACAGACAGGACCCCCACACAGTGCCTGAGCTCCAGGTACCGGAACAGCACAGGTTACCTGGTTGAAGACCGACCTGTGACACTGGCCCTGCTATGAACACTGTCCCCTGCCCTCTAGCACCTCCACACCCACCTCCCACCTCAGGGCCTTTGCACGTGCCCCGCTGTTCTAGTGTCACTTCCTCCAGGAAGCCTCCCTGGATCCCTGTCCTGCCGCGTGCCTTTCCTCAGTCTCCCTTGCCTGAGCCTGAATGTGCTCTTCCGTTTGGTTTGTTCCCATCTGTTTCACTGGGCAGAAAACAAGCTGCAGGAGAGCTGGACCTGGTCTGCTCACCACCATCCCAGCCCAAAGCCGGGACCAGCGTGTGCAACACGAGTGCTCAGCGCGGGACGTTTCAGGGGCGCTGCCTGACATGGGCCAAACCCTTCACAGCCCAGCCGGCCCCCACTGCTCTGTTCCCCCCTGCCCCCCGTCCCCGTCTGGCAGGCCTGAGCTCCTCCCCACCGAGGAGGCCGCGGGGCCCACTGGCTCACCCTCCTCCTGCAGAGCCGCGGGGTCCAGCTCCAGGTCGTAGAGGCGGAGGCTGGGCCGGGCCGAGCGCCCCACGCCCTTGAGCTCGGGCCGGCTGACCCTGCGTCGCAGCCGCACGGAGCGGTTGTAGTACTGGCAGATGACAGCACCGCGGCTACGGCCTTGGGGGGGAGGGGGCGGTCAGGGGGCAGCGCCGGCCTGCGCCCGCCCCTCCCAGGGCCCACGGAGTCCCTTTACAAGAGACCTCAGGCACCACTGGGTTCCCAAGAGCCTATTTTTATCCCTGTGACTCTGGAGTCGTTTTTGGAACCCAGCGAGGCTGCATGGGGCTGTGCTGGGCCTCCGGGCAGCGGACGGGAGGCTGCGGGGAGAAGGGCCCGGCCCCGTGCTGCACAGACCCCCGTCTGAAACCCCCGCCGCCCAGGCGAGGCTAGAGGAGCTCACTCACCAATAGTGCGACTGGGCATGCTGGCCAAGATGCGGAGCGTGGCTGTGCTGTGCATAAGGCCATCCTCGGGCCCCGGCAGGGCCTGCTGGCCACTGCCTACGAAGCAGAAAGACTCGTCCAGGCGTCCTGGAGACACGGCTGGCCAGAGATCTCCCCCACCCAATCCCCACCCCAGGCCTGCAGTGGGCAGGGAAGGCTCAGTGCCCTGCCCACAGCATCCAGGGCACCGGGGCCCCGTGCCAGGAGGGCTCACCTGAGGTCTCCTGGCCTCCGGCCCCTGGCTCCCTCTGCTGCAGCTCCAGCCCCTCCTCAGCCACCCACTGGCTCTGCTCCTGGATGAGCTGGTGGAAGGAGTCATGGACTTCGCTCTCATCACAGGGGCTGGGCTCCTGGCTGCTGGGATGAGAGGGGGTGGGAGCTCAGGATTCGGCTGACCCAGCTCTGCCCCAGCAGCGACCCCTTCCATAGGCCCTGGTCCAGGTGGCCTCTCCCGAGGTGGGGGGGGGGAACGTCTCTGCCCTCCGGCCCCCCCAGCCCCAGCGCACTTACCCGTGGTCCTCTGGGGTCTCGGGAACATTGAGGACAAAGTTCAGCGGCTGGGCCATGTCTGTGACTCACGCCCAGCCGGTCGGCAAACCTAGAGCAGCTCAGAGCCTGGGCGCAGCCTCCAAAGCCTCCCTCTGCCCATCTGATGAGACAGGGAGTGGTGCACCAAGGTTGGCCCTCAGTGCCTGGTGCCCCGCCAAACTACCCACTCCCTGGGGACCGTGGGAGGTGCCCACAGCCTAGGCCACCTGAGCCCCTGCCTGCCCCCATCCCCTGCCAAACACCTGGTCAGGTTAGTGACCCCAAATAGGCCTCATGCCAGAATGGACCGAGGGGGAGTCCCTTCCACTGCTTGAGGAAGAGCGGAAGGAAGAGGGGGGTTCTGAGCAGTCCCCATCAGTTTCCTCTATGGCGCCAGTCCCTGGGAAGGGGGAAGGGGGTGGGTGTCTGTGGGCACAGCCCCAGGTATCCACCGCCCTCCGGGTGAAAAAGTTCAGGGCAGCTCCCAGACCTTCCTGTGCCTGCCCTGTAACCCCAGAGCACTTCCTCTCACAGGAAGCTCCTCCCACGGCTAGCCCTCCCCAACTGGGGGTGGGGGGCCCCTCCAGCCCGACCCCCACCCAGTGCTGCCGGCCCTCACCTCCCCAAACAGGGATCACTGCCCTCCACACTGGGCTGGGCTGGGGCGCTGCAAGGTCACCAGTTCTCAGGAGACCAACTCCCCTACATTCCATCACCCCAGGGGCGGGCCAGGGCAGCTGGCTGGGGGAAGGGAGGCTGGGCGTTAAACAGGCCGCCTTTGTCCAGCCTTTGTCCGGGCAGAGGGCTCTGCCATCGCCTGGGACAACTGCAACCAGGGCGGCCTTTGTCTGGGCTCTTCACCCTGTGGGCGTGGCCCGGGGCCCAGCCCTGCGTCGGCCCGGTGCTCGGTCTTCCTCCACCCCGTTGTCCCCCCGGGGGGAACTCAGCACTCAGAAAAGTTGGCTAGGCTCAAGGGGTCTCCTCGGGCAAGGCCAGGATGCCCAGTGTCCTCGCTTAGGGGCATGCAGGATGTCCAGTCTCTGAACCCAGGGCCCACACCATCCAAGCCCCTTCCCCTCCCTCCAGCAGGGGCGGGGGCGGGGGGGAGGGGCAGCAGAGAGATGACGGGTGGGCTGAACTGGGAAAACAGCTGGAGGTGAAGCTGGTGATGTGCCCCCCAATCCTGTCCCTAGGCCCTCCACAGACCCTCAAGCCTCTCCCATACACCCCTTTGGGGGGCGGGGGGAGGTAAGTGCGGAGGTGGGAAGTGTTCAGAGGCTTGGAATCTGGCAGCCTACCCAGGGGTAGGGGCTCACCTGGGCGCACCCAAGCACTGCCTACGATTTCTGCCCAGCTGACACCCAGCGCCCGGACAGCCGACCCCAGGCCGGGGCAGGTCCGGCAGAGTTTCCGGGGCACACCATTCCTGAGCCCTGAGCCAGGTGGGGAGGGGCAAGGTGGCGTCTCCAGGAACCCCACCCCGGCCGGCAGCGAGTCCTCTGGGAGCCGCAGCTGCCCGGGAAGGGCCGCAGCCCAGCCGCGGGGCCCAGGGGGCAGCAGCAAGTCCGGGCGCCCCTCGGCCCCTCTCCCCGCCAGCCTCCCGCTCCCCCGCCCCGGGCCAGTGGTACCGGCCCGCGCGACCCAGCCGGGCCCCGGGGCGTCACCGCTGCCCTCTCCGCTGGGGCGGCCGGCCGGGAGGCGTCAGGCCTTCGGCGCAGGAACTTCCCGCTCCCGTGGCCCCGGGGGCCCCAGGGAATGGGGAGCGGGTGCGGCGGCCGCCGCAGGGGAAGCAGCTGGGCCGGGGGGACCCGGGCGCCACCCCCAAGCCCGGGCCCGCGGCTCCGCCCGGACCGGCACCTCGATCCCCGCCGCTTACCTGGGAGGCGCGGGGGAGGAGGGGCCCCTGCGCGCCCGCCAGCCGCTCACCTGTCCCCGGAACCGCGGTCCGGGCTCCACCACCTGGGGGCAGGGGCGCGGGGTCAGGGGGAGGGAGTGCCTGGGGGGGGTCCAGGGGGCGACCTGGGACCGTCGCGGGACTGACGGTGCCCGAGGGAGCTGCGCCGCCCAGCCCCCGCCCACGTGGTGGCGGGCCTTCGGCGACACGTGACCCGGCGCGCCCCGCGCCCTCGGGAGACCGTGCCCTCTTCCTGCCGACTTCCGACCCCGTCTCCACCTCACCCCGCCGTCTGAGCTGGGTGCCGGCGGCCGAGCGTCTGGGTCTACTCCAGTCTCAGTCTGAGTCCAGTGTGTCAGTGGGACTCAGTTTCCCCAAGTTTCAAATGGGGACAATAATTCCCCACCCGCCCATTTCCCAGGGCAGTTATCAAAATAACACGCTGCTCTGAAGCCCCACTGATACAGCGCCTTGCGACACTGGATTGGGTAACCCTTTCCTCCACACAACCCCCTGCTGACAAACGACTTCCCCCAAGCAGGCTCAGGACCCACGGTATCACCCCCTCTGGTCAGGGCGTGGTTTCTGTCACTAGTCAGACAACAGTCCTGGCGCACTTCCTGTGTGCTAGGTGGGGAGGAGGGGGCAAGCCCCAGGAAAGCCTGACACTGTGACTGTCCCCTCTGCTGTTTTCTTAGTCATTCCCATAAGCCAGGGAGGTGGACACCTACTCCCTGCTTCACAGATGAGCAAACAGGTGGTGACGTTCATCAGCCCCTTGGGGTGTCCTCTGCCAGGGCCTGAGTCTGGTCCACCCCGGAGCTCCACCGAGAAACCTGACTTTGAGAAAGCCTGGCAGGTCAGAGGGGAGGCTCCCAGGGACTGGAGAGAGAATGGGTGGGATTTGGACAGTGGGTGGGGGGGGGGGGGGGGGGGGCGTCCAGGGGGGGGGAAGCCTTGAGAGGCAGGCAGGGTGGAGGGCAGAAAGGAAGGCGTGGGCCCTCCTGGAGGGGAGAACAGGTGGGCAAAGCCAGGATTCCCGAATGGAAAAAATGCAATGCAAGTGGTAAAGGGGTCTGCAGACCTGAAGTTGGACAAAGTTGGAGGGGTCAGCGTTGCGGCTTTTTTTGCAGCTGTCAGTGGGGTCCTCAGATGGGTTACTTCGGGCTGGATCTTGGTACAAGGCACCGCCGCATTAAGACGGGGCCTGCCCAGCCCTTGCCTCTCCCCACACTGACCCCCTCCTCCCTGCACACCCATGCTCCAGCCACATGGTACTCGCATGACCCTGGCCCAACTTGCAGATCACCTCCTGTGGGAAGCCTTCCTGGATTGAACCCTGTTGGAGCCCTTGCCACTTCCTGTTGACATGTTCTTTTGCTGGTCTGTTCCCCTGCCCCCACTCTCTGAGCCCACTGTGTGGTGGGCACCAGCACCCAGTTGGAGCCTGGCATAGAGGAGGGGCTTGGAAAATGAGGGGATCCAGGCAGGGATGCAGAGAAGCTACCAGAACTCAGCTGGATGGACTGGGCCCTGAAGGAGGTGGAGAGGGAGCAAGGAGGAAAGGGGATCCCAGGAGACAGAAACGGCCAAGACAGCTCTGAAACACCTTGCCTAGCAGGAACGAATGGCACGGATTCCTGAGCCCTTACTATAGGCCAGGCTCTAAGTCCCTGAAATGCCAGTGACCCAGGCGGGAGGTCGAGGATTAATGCCAAGGGCTTCTGGAAACTGAGCAGCCCGAAGTGATGGGGCCCACCCATTCTGTCACTATCTCGCTCTCCCCCGAGGACAACCTGCCACTGGCAGATAAGCGTCCAGGCCCCAGCTCGGGCTCCCCAGGCGTAAAGGGACCGGTGGAGGCGAGCACACAGGAGCGGCGGGGGGGGGGCGGGGGGGACACCCCCACCCCCACCTCCCACCCCCTGGCCGACCCCGACCCCGCGGGCCCCGCCTGCCTGCCCCGAGCGCCGCAGGAAGTGGCGGCCCCAGTGAAAGCGAAGGAAACTGTCGAGGTGGGGGCGAGAAGTGCAGCGGGGAGGAGATGGCGGGAGAGCTGGGGTTCCTGTCACGTGACCCCTCCCCCGGCTCCCTCACAGTCCCGCCCGGCGTGGCGGGAGCCGGTCCAACGAGGGGCCTCCTCCTCGGAGGGACTTGGTCCCTCGTCCCCAGGTGAGCTGGGTGCAGAGTGGGGGAAGGAGGCAGAGCAAGAGGCGGTGAAAGAGAGAACCGAGGGGACGGGGCTGCTGAGGGATGGGGGTTATGGCCGCCGCGCTAGGGTGCCCTCCCCAAGTCTGGGGGCTGTAGCCACGCCTCCTCGTCTGCGGTTCCCCGGGGGGCGGGGCAGACCCAGTCCTGGGGGCTGGACCCCAGGTAGCGGGCTTCTAGGAACGGTCAGGGTTTGGGACAGGGGCCTGTTCCCACTGGGAGAAGTAGCACGGGGAGAAGAGCCGGAATTGTCTTGCCGAAGGGTGACCCCGAAGGCCTGTGGCCACGCAGCAGGTGTGACTGGGGTGCAGCAGGCGTGACTGGGGTGCAGCAGGCTTTGGACCCCATCGCCCTTATCTGTGGCCACACCTGGCTTTGTCTTTGTCTGGGACAGTCCCATCTTTCCATGCCCTTTTTGGACTTTTCTCCCCATTGACAAACAGGGAAACTGAGGCCTCTGGCAGTGTGTTGCTTTGAGATGTGGACGGGGACCCAGTCCAGATCTGCTCCAGCTGAATTCTCTCTTCATCTCTGGCTGTGCCAGGGCCAAGAGACTGAAGCTCACCCAGCAGGCACCCCACGTCCCTTCTAGGAGGTGGGGGATTGTAGCCCAGCGCCCCCAACCTCAACCCCACCGCAGAGATGCTGAGGCAGTGGTCAGTGCAGTCCAGCCAGGCCCTCGTGGAGCCAGAACCTGAGCCAGGGGTCGCGGAGCTATGGGAGCAGGAGATGGAGCGGCTGCGGTCCTCCCAGGCACTGGTGCAGGAGTTGCCCTATGCCATGGTGGACAAGCGCCTCATCCGGTGGGTTCCCCAGGGTGGGACACGGTGGGGGCCAGATGGTGGGGGTGGGTGGAGCACCCACAGGATGCACCTGTTGGATGGGGGTGGAAGTCACCCGCGGTGGGAAGGCTCCTCTGGCCCTTGGCATTGCTCTGCCTGGCTCAGTGGGCACAGTGGGTGACTCAAGGCCGCCCGCGTCACCGCCCCATCCCAGGCAGCTGCGGGAGCCCCAGGGGGTGAAGACCTCTTGCTGGCAGCGATGGCGGAGCAGGCGGCAGACTGCGGCACGGCGCCTAGGGGAGGCGGCACAGCGGCTGGCCCGGGGCTTTGGGCTCTGGGAAGGGGCTCTCTACGAGATCGGGGGTAGGACCCGCACCCCCACCTCTCACTTCCCCCCTCCCCCTCCCCTCTCTGTAGGCTCAATGTCCGGTTTAGAAACCCGAGGCCACCATCCCGCTTGCCATTGTCCCTTCCGCCCCCACCAAACAACCCCCCCCACCACCAAACAACGCCCCCCATCCTTTCACGCCCCCCTTCGGCGGGGAGCCGGGGCGCAAAACTAGGCGGATGACAGCACCCCCTGGTCGCTCTCAGAGGTACTGCTGGGGGAGCCTCCCCGACTCGGCCATTGATCTGAGGTCCAGGCAGGCCTGGTTCACCCCCACCCTGCTGGGTTGGTCGCCCTCGGATTCTCAGCTGCGCCCCGGCTTGGTGCGGCTCTGAAGGACCTGCTGCTCTCCTCGTAGGCCTCTTTGGCACCGGAATCCAGTCCTACTTCACCTTCCTTCGCTTCCTGCTGTTGCTCAACCTTCTGACCCTGCTTCTCACTGCCGGCTTCGTCCTGCTGCCCCTGGTCTGGCTCCGCCCCCCCGACACAGGCCCCTCCCTTAACTTCAGTGAGTGCCCAGCCCACCGAGGGAATAAAGTCCTGGAGCGCCCCCTTGCACCCTGAGGACCCTGAGTGTTTTGATCCTGAGGGGCTGATCCAGGGCTCAGAGTGTTGGGACAGCCCTGACCCTCTGTGTCTCAATCCTGGGCATCGTCCTGCTTGGGTCCAGCCCGGGGACTCTCCCTGACCGTGCCTTGTGCATGCCCGACACCGCTTCAGGGCCCCGCTCAGGCCTCCCCAGGATGCGGGGCCCCGGGGGGGGGGGTGCTACGGAGTATATAGGGACAGGGCCTCACCTATGCCTTGGGGTCCCTTCCCTACTGGGCCCCTCTCCCTCCCGACAGCCCTTCAGTGCCCTGGTAGCCTCCAGCCCCAGACTGGTGTTCCCAGATTCCACAATCGACTTTGGAATGTTTTAACCGGCAGGGTAAGTGGGCTCCGTCTTGGCTATGCACCAGGAGGGCTGGAGGACCTGGAGAACTGGCCCCAGGGGACCGCAGTCTAAGGGGACCCCCATCCCTCCAAAGACATTTTGGCTTCGAGGGGAACAGTTTTACGTAAACGGGCTGGAGAGGACCGTGATGGAGTCAGAGAGAGGCTGAGGCCAGTATGCACAGCCCAGGGCCACGGTCATCTGTGCATGGCCCTCAGGACCCAGCTGGGGTGGGGGTGCAAAGGACAGAGGGGAAGAGTGTCAGGGCCTGTGGGATAAGCACCACCTCACCCTCATCTCTGGCAGCCGCTGAGTGGTTGCCGCGCAGACTCCTGTATTCCAGTCCTGTCTCTTCCTCAGAGCTGTGTGGCCTTGGGCAAGTTGCCCACTGCCCTGTGACTGTGACATGGGGATGCTCTCCCTCCCTCCCTGATGAGGATTCTGTGAGAGTTAGAGAGTGAAGACATGGGAGGCACTTAGCACACAGCCCGCGTGACCCCGTTGTCATTGTCCACATCCCCAGGCCTTCACCAACACCTACCTCTTCTATGGCGCCTACCGGGCAGGGCCCGAGAGCAGCTCGTCGTACAGCATCCGCCTGGCCTACCTCCTGAGCCCCCTGGCCTGCCTGCTGCTCTGCTTCTTTGGGATTCTGCGGCGGTGAGAGCGGAGTGCCTGATCACCCCTCCCTTGACGTGGCACCCCCAAAGTAGCAGGAGGGCCCTGGCCTCTGTTCAAGCGGGCTAATCGGTGGTTTCAGGGCCCGGACGGTGTGTCCCCAGCTGCAAGGCTCAGGGACACCGCCCCTGTGCCCCCACCCCCGACCCAAGCCTGCACCCGGGGCGTCAGGGGCTTCCCACCCCAGACCGGAGCCAAGGCGGAGGCCCCTCCCCCATTGGCCCCCGACCTCCTGCTCCCTCCAGGATGGTGAAGGGGCTGCCACAGAGGCTGTTCCTGGGCCAAGACTACAAGTCGCCCGTGAGTGTCAAAGTGTTCTCCTCCTGGGACTTCTGTATCCGGGGACAGGAAGCAGCCACCATCAAGAAGCATGAGATCAGCAACGAGTTCAAGGTGTGTGCGAGGGTCCCGTGTGTGCACGTAGATGCATGGACAAGCGTATGTGACTATGCGCGTGAGTGGGTGTGGCTTGGGAGTGTGTGCGCACCTGCCTCGGGGTCACGCCAGCCTTGCCTGGATCCTGGCAGC